AAATAGTGACTTGTAAACTTTTCTTCAGTACAACCATAGTTAATAGAGGGAGACTATCAACTATGGTACAACACTAAGAAGTTAACTAAACGTCTCCTCAGTAAGCAAGACAAAACCTATTGTACTTTTGAAAATCGCCCGAAAAATTGCAGCAAAAATTGCCGCAAAAACCGACAGTGTAGGCTCCCTTTACTAACTACGAACTGCTGACGGACAATTTTAAGTCCGGTTGATCTACGTCCATAGGATGACGGAAAATTCTCAATGCAGATTAATGCAAACATTTTCTTTCTCCTCTACAAGCATTGGGAACGCTTTGACTGATCACTGTAAAAAAGAGTGTGCGGTCAGGCGTGTGGACATGACGCTTAATCGTAACAGAAAATCATTGCTGATATAACATTTTCCGTCATCGTGCGACGGGACGTATAAGGGTAATGCAGGGTTGAAATCATGGTGAATGACAAGCCTTTTAATCACGAGGAACGCACGACCCAATTCATTACTGTGCCAGTGAACGGATCAGAAAGAGAGATCACTTCTTTGATGTATAAAACAATATGATTGTTGACAATATCTGGAGAGGACGTATGGTTTCTCGCCTATGGCCGACTGAGCCAGCGAGACGTGTGTTCGGTCGATCGCCAATGATATCTGGCAACGTTAACTTTTTCAAAAAACAAAAACAAAAAAACAACAACTCAGGTTTGATCTAAGGAAGGCGACGGAAAAAAAGATCGAAGGTTACATTGTATGCGCATGTTCTTACCGTTTATATTACGTGTAATAGACTTTTTACGTCACTACTTGATTTTCAATGCATTGTGGGATCAGTTTCTAGAGAAAACAAAAGAAATCCGCCATGTCCTACAACGGCACATGACGTAAAAGCTTCGGAGGTCTACTCGGGGTACTCTGCGAACAGGAGCTACTTTTCTCTTTTTTTTTTGGGGGGGGGGGGAGGTTGGATCGACAGGCTTAAAATAGACACTCTGGAGATAGGTGTTCAACTGGGTTAAAATTTTAAAAAGACGCTCAGGAATGGAGGAGTCAAACCGTAGAACGCATAATGGAAACATCAAGAGAGTTCCAAATTTTCCTTATAACCCGTCGGGTCATATTAGGTCACGAGTTCGCGCTTCATTAGAGCGTCTATATTGTTCTCATTTTTACTGCATTCTTTCCCTTCGATGTATAGAAACGTCACAGAGCAGGTGGAAATCTGCACATGTTGTTTTTAGAGTAGATCTTAATCTCTCCTAGATATTCATTTCAGTGTTGCCTATCTCACAGCAAACATAACTGAGAAACCATTTAGATGTTGATTACAATAATAAAAGTACATACCCCAAAAGACAATATTAGTTTAAATCGTGGAAACCTTTCAAACGTTGTCACGATGCCAAACGTCAAGCGCAAACAATTGTTTACACAGATTCTTCTTCATTTGGGCTTTATTTACTCATTAAATAGCATTCTTTTATAAGGCTTATTTTTGTACAATTGATAACTTGCTGGCACGTACGATTATCATTATTGCTCCTAATAAAATATTCAGAAGTGATTTCCGATATGCTTTTGAAAAAACAAGCTCACGCAGTATTAGTCAATGCTAAGATAATGAAATAACAGCCTGCTGCCTGTGAACTGGCAAAGAGTCAAGTATATTGCGCGTAAGTACTATAAGTTCTTCTATGAAAAAAGGTCGGTGCTGTACTGAGACGTATCTCTTTAATATAAAGCGTGGGAGCACTTAAAAATGGCCATCGTAAAAACGCATATAATGCCGTCCGAATTTTTATTGCATTAAAAGGGATATGTACAATTCAGCGTTAGCCAGTTGGTAAATTTGACGTTTGGCTCTCAAAATGATCTTCTCTGAATAATAAAAGAAAAACCGACAGCCTCGTCGGTAAAAAAACTTGGCATTTTKAATGAATGGTACTTTGGCAGTAAACGACTGATGAAGGTTTGTTGGAACTAGCAAAGGAAAATGCGGGAAGAGCCTCGTAGTCTGGTGCGTTTGTTCCGTGCGTCAAAAACGGTATTTACGGACATTTTTGGGGTCAAAGAGATTTTGACAACCAAAAAAGCATTCTGTCAAGAAGCTATTAGAGCTGTTTTTTCAAAAAAAACCTGTCAGTTTTCAGTTTATAATTAAAGATTTTCAAAAGCCATAGCATTTACATTTTACGTTCCTAACTCATTTTATGAAATCCCTTTGAACGGATTTCGAGGGTCACAAATAAAGACATATATAAATCGTTTAAATGGCACTTAGCTTACTCTTAATCACATGATTGACGTATACTTCGTACCATAATCACTTTACCGAGTATCAAAAAGATCTGAATGACACCAGTCACTTAGCAACCGGGTATAAACAACTACAAACACTAAGGTCAATGGTTAGGCCACACAGGAAACGACAGTAACGCAGCCAAAAAACTTAAGCTGCGGCGGTCGTCATTGAATCGTACATTGAATCGTGATTATTTTTATCTTGACGCAGAGCGGTCGACTACTTCMAAACCAACTAGACACGATGGGATGTAATGCCAGTAATCAGGCCAAAACAACGGTACAGACGCAGCAACCACAGAATGCGCTAGCAACGGCCGGCCAGTCGAACAATAACACTACAGCTACTGGCAAACAGGAGAACACGATTCAACCTACGTCTAGTTCTTTATCTGACCCGCCAAAACAAGGTACAGTTCTCCAATTTAAAGCGGTTCTCGTAAATTCCAGACAACTAGTTGTACCTTTAAGGACCAATAGTGCACATCAAGGACGAAATCCATCATGTATAGCCTTAAATCGGTGGGGTATAATTGTTGTATCAGCTTTCATTGTATTTTCGTTGAATGGGAAACCTCAGTGGACTTTAGGGGGTCGAAACCGTCAATTAGAGTCGAGAGGTTTTGTCCAATACACTGCCAGTCCTTCCGTCTTTTCGTTAACTGTAAAAGTTATTTTTCGAAGTGAAGTAACATTTTAAGCTCATAATTTTTGCCCGAGGCGTAATTGTCAATCCTGGATTCATTGCTATAAACACGTAGAATAGTCTACTTAAGTCTGGAAATCGTCTGGAGTTCTAAAAACGCAAAATTTAAAATTACTCATATAGTTTTCTATATAGTCATTTAATATGTCGTCCAATTATCACCTATTGAAGATTGCTTTCAAACTTCATCTGASTTATTTTCTTTGAGAAAAGAAAATGAAAAAAATATAGTATAATAGATTCTCCATTTTGAAAAAATTCTGATTATATTATATCCTGTGTAAAATTTAMCTTGCAAAAACTTATAGGAAATATAACTTATGAGAATAAACCAGCAAAAATACTTCGAGCGAACAGAAAAATACACAAACACCATAAAACTAAACATTCAACTAACAAAGTGTAAATAGCATTCAAAAAATGCAAATTTGCCAATAATCGTTGCTATGTGAAAATCACCGTTGCTAAGGGAAGAAAAATGCTCTGGTCGATGAACAGTTTTCATTCACTTTTAAAGTAAGTCTTTGGTTAACAGAGATTAGTGTTCAGATTTGTTTTTCTTTAAAAACAATGACTTTCATTCAGGTAAGAGCCAAGGTTTTGATATTTAATGCGCCTCATGAGTGATTAGTGAAGGTCGAGAAAATTGAAGGTCGTTTTGTAATAAAACAAAAAACAATCTATTTTCGATTGTCATTATTAATGTTATCCTTATCAAGATAATCTTAAGTAGTCTAGAGGAAGTATGATGAAAAAGAAGCAAACAAAGAGAAAAGAATAAAAAATGACATTAAAAATAAAATTTTAACTATGAGAAGSAATGCCAAAAAAATGACTGACGAATACTGAAAAAAAAGAAAAGTGGGAGAGAAAATGTACATTCACTGCCAAAATCCCACACAAAGAAGTTTCCATAACAGAAAATCATCAGATTCATGAGGAACAGAAGGACGGAAGGTTATCCGGTCTGCCTTTCTAGTATTTTCCTTAGAAATTTAGAAGATCGTGATTGAGAAGAGAAGTAAAAAAATATTGATCGGAAGGAAAGAAATGAAAAGAAAAAACAATATGCTACATRACTAAATATTAAAAGTAGACACAAACGAGACAATAATTGAAAACATTTTTCGGTAGGAAATTGCTGGGTTTCGATTCTGCGGCTTTTTAAAAGCACTTCAACGCTTCCAATTATAATCCCTCAATCGTCGTTTCCAGCCTGGGACAAAATCTCAAAATGTTTTCAAAAACTCTTTGCTAGATATGTATAAAGAAAATTCATTAGGTGGATGACTCTATATAAATTAAACTGTCACTTAATATATAAGTGTTTTTATCAAAATAATGACACTATTAAATAAAATACAAGAAAATAAGAGTATATTACGGTTGAAAAGTTATTTTTCACCTTCAGCTCTGAACAAACCGTGCAACAGTCAAAAAATAAACAAATAGTTTGTTGCTAAGCAGGTGTCGAAACGCTAAAGTAATGTTTCAACGGTTTTAATGAAAGAAAATCGCCTTACATATTCCACGTTGATTTCAAAGGCCTAGTAAAACGTATTTTCCATTTCAATATAAAAGAAATAAAGACAGAATAACAGAGCGGTTGAAATTCATCGCTTTTATAACTTTACTCTCGAATCGTGTGAGTATCCTGTTATGAAGTGATGCCGATTTTTGGTTGGAAATTCTATTAACCTAAAATTTAATAAATTCTGTGTGAAACCAGTGTGACGTCACTTGTCATTATGAGCAACACCTTTTAACTCCTTCAACTGTGTTSCGGGTTCCAGGCTCCTCTCATGCGCAGAGATATTTTGATATTTCTGAATATGCCTTATATTAAGATTTTCTTGATCTTAAACTTTAAAAGCTTTGATTGGCTGGATTATCAGCGAGATTTCCGTATAGCCTGCTCCGGGCCAGAAAGTCGCCTTTGCTGCCCATGCCAAGTCTTCCCACCGAGTTATCCGTAATTAATTTCCCTTAAGACGCCCCAAGATACCAAGGGACCCCAYCCAGTAATCCTCCAAATTTGTCTTTTTATGTACTCCAACCAAATATTACTCGATTTGATTTGCAACTTTCTGGCCCGGATCAGGCCTTACTTATGCATTATGCCAGTGTCTAGTGGAAACGCTCCAAAGAAATTTTTGAAAATAACTTTCTTTACATCGAGCACTCGATATTACGTTCCTGACTGTCCGTTAATGACGAATGTTGAATGTATTTTGTTTTTTTTTTTGTTCAAAGCCGAGCCCGATGCAACGACCAATGATGGAGTCGACGGCGGTGCTGACAAAACAGATTCTAATGCCGAACCACGAGAAGAGCCGTTAGGCGAGGAATCTAAAGAGAATCACCAAGAACAAGAACCAGTTCAAGAGAAACCAGCTGAAAATCCAGTACCAGAAGAACAAAAACCAGRCGAAAGCACAATTCATGAAGTGGACAACAATATTCCGGAGGAAACTACACCGGCTGTAAATGAGGATACGCCAGCTGAAGACACTAAACCTGCGGAGGAGGCCAACGTTGAAAATGATTCTAAACCAACGGAAGAGGCGCCACAAGAGAGTCAACAAGAAGAAAAGGCAGACGAAACTCAAAAAGATATACCTGACGAGGTGAAGACAGAGGAGCAGCATGCAGCAGAGGAGGGCACTAAACCTGAGGATGAAGCAGAAACACCTGCGCAAGAAAGTGACAAACCCGCCGAAACTACTGAAACTCCGGAAGAAACTGAAAAACCAGCAGAAACTACGGAGGCACCRRCAGAAAAAGSTGATACACCTGCWGAARCGAMCGAAACGCAAGAAGGAAATACCGAAACACAGGCACAAAGTAGCGAAACGCCGGCAGAGGGCGGCGAAACGCYAGCGGAAAATSCCGAAACTCCGGCTGAAAAAGCCGAAACACCGGCTGAAACATCAGAAAGTTAAGGRTAATTTATTTAGCTTTTTATAGTAAAACATTTCATTAGATTTTTATTTTCGTAGATACAATGTTTTACATATCAATATATTTCTYTTTTAATCAATCTTTTGATTCCGAATCATTGTATAAAAATATCATTTCTATGAAAAAAAATCAATTTCTAAATATCGTAAATAACCGTTTGTAAATACACAAGTTCTAGCCTTCCTTTCAAAGGTTTAGCTGAGAGAAATTGTCGGGACTGATTATATGAAGCGGACTGGCCCGTGTAATCGGGCTGGTCTCTATTTTCACTGGGGCTCTCAAAGCAAACTAGCCCAGCTGCGCGGGTCAGCCCGCTTCATATAACCAGACCCTGATATTCTATAATCGAGAGCCGGGACATACACATTTTGAATTTAAAATGCAAATCACACCTAAAAAAGACATTGGAGTAAAGCGAAAAGACAGAAAAGTATTAGCTTCTTCTGCTTCCATCTTTCATAATTGGCTTGGCCTGTGTTACACCAGAACATGTCTGCGAAAGAGTCCAATGTTCTCCGACAGAGTAAACAGTCGTGTCACACAATTCTATATTYGACACAAATTCATCTACGTTAATCTATTTGGTATATTGAAAGATCGGCATATATCAAAAATGCCAAAATATCTAAATTGCAATCATAAAAAAATGATATTGATATAGGTGATAATCTAGTTAGTGAGGAAAAAAATAAAATTATGAAAATAGAGTTTCAAATGATTTCTAAACTAAATTTGCATCATAATTCAACAATGTATATTATTTTATGTAATTAAAAAATGTCTTATGAATAAAAAATTTATGATGACTTGAAGAGGAGTTGCTTACTAAAATTAAAAAATATATTCAAATATTGTGTCTGTGCATCACATTTAACAAGTGAAAAGAAAAATTMAGTAAATGGCCTATCTCATTCCATGTAGAATGGAAATGTTACTTATTGTTTKGTAAAGCAGGGATTATATTTTCGATAACTGAATGTGCTTGAGGAAAAGTCAACAAGAATCAGTTGATTTAATACAGAAGGCCATGTAGAACATCCACAAAAAAGTGCTCTATCACAGAAGTAAATAGTTGTCTGTTATTTAATAAAAAACATATAYATTATTAGAGCTACATGAAAAATGAATAAGTGTAATTAGAAAGAGAGTGAGATGCCATGGTGGTGGGATGCCAGTTGAAATTCCTTAAGTGTACTTCTAAGATGTACAACACTCCTGTGATATCAMAAATAAAACAAAAGTGGCATTTAAGCASCAGAACATGTCTCTGAACCAACAACCAATYCATAGCTGGTTAATGATTATATTTTTTATGACAAAATTCTTAATTCCACATTTGGTATTTGTGAATAAGAGACTAAATCCTAGAAAACTCCAAAACTCACAAATGGTAGCCCCCCCAGCTTTTTCAAAAAGTTATCAAAGCTCTAAATTATCTCTATACCCTTGATTACATTACAATATTGTCACCTCCCCCCCCCCTGAAAAAAAGCATGCTAAGAAGCTAGGGTCAGCCTCTACACTTGAAAAAATCCTGCGCTACTCCTGCAAATATTCTGCTTACTATTAAGCTACAAAATTATTCTTTGAATTAGTTGATAAATACCAATAATCTACAGACTACTTTTCTGGCCTGTGCTTGAGTGGTGTTCTTCATTATTGAGCTGTTTGAACAATCAATAAGAGCCATCTTAATGACATTTTGAGATGGTGATATTGTCTAGGGTTCGGCAATGTTAGCAATAGGTTATAAGAAATACTTTATGCACTGATAAGAAGACTAACTAAGGCTTTATTTCCCCAAAAATGTTACAAAAGATAATTTGAAAACATTACAAGATGTTTGCCTTATCATTAGCTGACTTTCAATTTATTCCAACAATTAATTTTTTCAAACACTAAAACACTATGCTACCGTTTCATGTCTTTCTGGGGCAATGTCTTATTTGGAATTTCTTATTCATCTTTTACCTCTCCAACAATTGCGATTGCTTCAATTTCCACTTTGCCACCCTTAAACAGAAAGCAGAACATTAATTCTACTGCTGGTGCTGGAATTGGCATTTCTWGGATCTCAATTTAAACCACCTGTAGTTACTGCATCTGGTAGTCAACACAGGACTTCGAACGCCCCCCTTTTGCTTGATCTGCCCATGCTATCAATTCATCAGAAAWCCCTTACCTTTGGCAACTTCCCAACTTGATAGGCAGCTCTTGCTGGTTGCTTCTCAGTGAAAACTACAAGTYAAAACTGATTTAGTCATACAGTGATACCATACAAAAATGACATACTAGAAGGACATAATATAATATACCAGGAAAACTGTTAGTATCCAAAGTAATTCCCATATAACATGAAATAAGAGGAAGTTATCAAGAACTTACATGTTTTGTAAACTTCATTGACTGCCTGAAAATCATTGATGTCATCAAGAAGGACTGTTGCCTTGACAACTGCCAAACAAAGACAATTGAAGAAACAAATGAAGAACACTCTATAAGCTTGCTGTCCTAACTTGATATTTGCACAAACAATTTTGCCTTCCCACTCTCCCTTTTAGTTTGGTATACACGAGTATGCATTGCACTATTCTTCAGTGATGGGTATTAGTGGTGAGCTATGACCCCAGTTGCCATGGCAATGTCCATGCCAAAACAACTGTACCCCCCCCCCCCCCCCCCCCCCACCAGTACCTAGCCCAAACTCAATACTGTCATTGATATTTAAGGAGTGAAGTACTTAATTTGATTCAAAAGCAGAATTTTACAGTTTTTAAGACTGAGAATTATATACCTTTGTTGAAAGCAGAGCCTCCAGCTTCAAGGATATGACCCATGTTAGTAAGTGCCTATAACAAAAAATATTAAGTAAATATATCAGMCTTTTCACAGTTGAACACGACAATGAGAGCAATGAAGTGAGATAAAGATTACTTTTCTTTTCCTCTCACGAATTATACAATTAGGATTTTCTCATGAAGCCATATAGTTCCTTACACAACAAAATATCAAAATAGGATTACTTTACCTCACTTAGAAGTCAGTGAGAGATACTATGCTGTGAGATACTATGATAATTGGGCTTCACAAGGAAAAAATTATAGTACTTCTGAGATTTGCAGCATTAAACTTGTGGGACGTATTCTGTAGTAGTATCCAAGTGATGTACATGTAAACTGAAGAACTGAAATTTTGCAGGAAGTAGTTTTATAGTTGGAAACCTTCCACAAGCTATTGAGCCTAAATAAATTTTATTCTGAGCTTTATACCCCTTACAGTTTTCAAGGTGTACTATTTAATTAATAACCTTTTTTTAGAAATTTAATGGTCATTGAAAAGATCTCAAGACACTGATTTACCTGCTTTGTCTGCCCACCAGCATCTTGACTAACAAATTCCATTGTCTTAAAAACAATTATATTATATTTCAATTATAATTATTACTTCTGTAGAAATCATTTATAAAAATAATTATTTTGACTACATAAAAAAAACATCAGGGTGTCTATGTCTCTCAACCTCGAGATAATAATTTAGAACACAATCCTTCTACTTTTATCAATAAGCATTCAATATAATGCAAGTTAAACTTTACAAATATATTAGTGTCAACCACCAAATGTAGGAGTGCATAGAGCGGATTTCGTATGACTGTGCAAAAAAACACAGTACCGTAGCCGTAGCCGTAGCCGTGATGCATTGGAAAATCTTTACTTTCATTGTCCTAGAAGGCGAAGTTCAGTGACCGTGCCGTGCCGTGTTGTGATCAGTGCTTTTGCACAGTCATATGAAATCCGCTCTAGGGGTTTACACTTTTTAGAGCTGATTTTGGGCATTTTCATTTAAAAATATTTTCAAGTTAGACATTTGCAGATGACTAAAATAATAAAATATGCAAATCTATGAGGAAATGGTGAGCTTCTGGATGTGGTGGATTCTGATATTTATTGCTCACTTTCTAACCTACTAATTGCCTATTTTGGCTATTTTGTTTTTATTCTATTGGCTGTTGGCAGGTGTTCTAGAACGAAATCTTCAATATATTTTCTGCAATTTTGGAGTAATGGCACTTGCCAGCAAAACTCCTTGTCAGTCCTGACAGGTGGGTTAAATGATTTCTCTTGTGGATTTGCATATTTAAGCATCCCCTACAATCCCCCCTCAATGAATCAGAAATAAAAAAACCCTCTGAGGAAGTTTCAAAAAGATGTAGATTAAACTTGGTGCATCATACCTTTGGGTCAAGACCAAGCTGCCCACTGATGTACATGGTTTTGTCAGCTATTACAGCTTGGCTGTGAGGATAACAACACTATTGAATGCTAGGCCTTAGGTATACGTAAGACTGTGTGTGTCAATGGAGATGGTATATGTAAGACTGTGTGTGTGTCAATGGAGATGGGGGCAATGGAGGTTTGATATGGTATGGTGATGGTCTTTCCGTTTTGTATTACATGAAAGAGTTTGCTTGCTTTTTCTGGTGGGGGGGGGGGGGAAGTCATGCAGGAATGCTGATCAAGTCAGGGGGTTTGTGTAAATAGACTACCATACTATTAATAACATTAAACAACTTGATTGAAAACAAATAAATTTACAGAACTTTCATAGCAAACTTTTACAATCACTATAAACTTTAATAGCTTAATTACGTTCATCGTTTGTGTCTTTCTTGCCTTTGAGGCCCTTTGAAGCATCTTTGTACAACGAACACGTGTCACCTATATAGGCTATTACGTATTGCAAGCTCTAATTGATCAATAAAACCTTTCAAAACCAATAAAAACAATACCTGTACACTCCAGCAATTGGGCGAACTCCTTTTGGAGTATCAACAATTTTTCTTACGGTCGCCATGTTTGCAAGAGCTTTAGACTGTCGTTTGCGCAACAGTAGACACACATTACGTTGCAGTCACCTTCTGACCTCAATCGTTGTCCCGAGTCTAAGAAATCTTTGCTCGTGTTTTAATCGGAAATACACTACGGTAACATTTTTAACAAATTAATATGCAGGATGTTGTCGTTTCTTAGGATGTCTAAGATAAAGCTTTAACTTTAACTTTTGTGTTTTTCAAAGAAATCCCGGAAAGTTTTAAGCTTACGGTTCGACCGTGGCTCCCTTATGCCAACTAGCTCATTATCTGCTACTTCCAATTTCTCTCTTCTTTCGATAACAATGAATACAAAATTAGTGTATACTTACCTATAAGCGCCAATCGCCGACGGGGCGTTAGAGGTACTAACGATTCTCCTCACGGTGGCCATCGCAAGAGCGGTAAAAAGACGCATGTAGACTTACGTACACAGGCAGCCCAACAATATAAAGATCAATATTTTACTTCACAGGAATCCCGCGTATTATCCAATGACGCATAGAAGAGACAAGATTATTACAATCTTGAAAATTTGATGAAAGTGCTTTTATAACTTTTTAAAGCAGAAGATGTTTGAAGTCTTTTAGGGATATTTTTAAGGTCATCTCTGACTATCATTCCAACATTATGTAGGGA